CTTCCCTCTTCCTTCCTTTCCTTAAAAAATTCTCAATTCTATATATGAAAGAAAACATGCACTATTTGTCTTTCTGAGTCTGGCTTACTTCTCTTAAAATAATGATCTCCAGTTCTATTTATTTCCCTGAAAAATTAAGATAAATGAGAACAATACTTGTCAAGCAGGCTTTCACTTATGCTTCACAACAATGATTTCATAAGCTGCAGGGCTGTCTTTGGAAAACTCTGCTGCACACCTGTGAATGAACAAGAATGAAAGGAAAAGTCGCATTTTAGCTTCTCATGAAAATGGTGTCTACTTTGAGGATCTCATGAAAGGGTCTTGGGAACTTCCAGGATCCCTGGACAACATTTTGAGAAGCATTGTTAATAAATTATATAATTTATCCCCATTCCACAGATGGACAGGCTCAGAGACCTGTAGTAACTTGTCTAAGGAAAATGGAAGAAATTAAATTTTATAAAATGGTTCCTTAGAGTCCAGAGCCACAGCTCTTAAATTTTATTTATTTATTTATTTATTTATTTAATTTTATGTGTTTGAGTATTTTTTCTGCATGTGTCAGTGCATTCATGCATGCAATGCTTGTGGAGGCCAGAAGAGGGCTCTAGATCCCCCAGAACTGACATGGGTGCTAGGAACTGAATCCAGGTCCTCTGCAAGAGCAGCCAGTGCTCTTAACTGCTGAGCTGTCTCTCCAGCCCCAGAGCTGGTAATATTATCTTTGTATACAGAGGAGGTTATTGAAGGAAGATTATAAAGATAATGGTAGTAATTAGTTCAAGCTCACAAACTAAATTCAGAACTATCATGTAAGCCCAAGTATTTTAATTAATTGATTTTATTTATTTATTACTTAGTTTTTTGTTTTGGTGTTTCTTGTCCTTCTTTTTTAAGGCAATGTCTTCCTATAACCCCAGCTGGCCTGGAACCTTCTATGTAGACTATGCTGTCCTTAGTCTCCTGAGTGCTGGGGTTAAAGCCGTGCATCACTATGCCAGACCTTGTTTTTTTACTTATTTGTTTATTTTTGTCTATCTATCTATCTATCTATCTATCTATCTATCTATCTATCATCTATCTATCTATCTATCTATCTATCTATCTATCTATCTTCTATCATCTATCATCTATCTATCATCTCTCTATTTATTTTTTGTGCGTAGGCACATTGTTTTCATCTTCCGCCTTGTTTTTGAGGCAGGGTCTCTCCAGTTGTTTCTGCCCCTTTGTGGTGTACTCCAGGCTAGCCTGTGAGCTTCTGGCTGATTCTTTGTCTCTGCCTCCCATTTTTCAGATGCATACCACTGCATTCAGCTTTTTTCATGGGTTCTGAGGATCAAAGTCAAGTTATCAATCCTGCATAGCAAATAGTTTTACTCTGAGCTATCTCTCTGGCCCAAGTCCAAGTCTTATAATTGAAAGGCTAGAGGCCCTTTTTCATTTAAAAAATGTTTTTTTAAACATGTATATTTGTATTGAGTTTTTATGCATCTTAATCATATTTAGACCCCCTCACCACCTGCATCCTCCCTTAACTCCTTTTCCCTGCCCCTTCATTGGGTTTCATGCATTCTGTCATACACGTTAAGGCCTATCCAGTCAAGCTTTTGTACAAAGATGTCCTCGGTGCAAGTTCATCCACTGCAGTCTAGTCAGCCTATCTAGAGTCACTACCATAAAGAAGATCTTGATCGGCTCATCATTTCTCTCTGTTTCTCCTGGATTCTGGGATTAGTCATGTGCCACCATATCTAGTTCATCCTTTGCTTTTGCACTCAATACAGCTCTTATCAGACATTGCATTTTTTAAGAAGCCTGGGGTATAATTACCACCTGGCAAGGTAACTTCCTATCATACACTATTTCTTTTTTAAAAAATATTTTATTTATTATTTTTTATTTTATGAATAGATTTCCTGCATGTGTATAAGTGCACCTGTGTTGTGCAATGCCCAAGGTCAGAAGAGAGGGTCGGATTCCCTGGAACTGAAGTTATAGATGGTTGTTAGCCACCACGTAGGTGCTAGAAATTGAACCTGGGTCCTTTGCAAGAGGAACTAG